GGGTTTGGACAAACATCAGTATCTGAAGATTTGGGATAAGAACACAAAGCTTAACTCTATTTATTGCTCCAATTCCACCCAAAAAAATCTGTGACTTTTAAGTTCATTGAAGTGCATTTAAAGGAACTAAAGAATTCCTCCAGCCCATTGGTGTCTGCTTTTTCAAAAAGGTCTGAAGACACTTATGATTTCGGCAAGCTGTTCTGCTGATGTGTGAAAAATCAACAGCCCGGTGCCTGCCTCGGAAATGCACTTAGTTCCTTTAAGGGTACCCAGACCCTTGAGGAAAGTTCCTGGATGACATAAAGAATTCATAGTTGATTCGCTTAATCTTTTTTTCATCTGCTTTTAACATACTCTGGCCTTTAGGTTTCTCAAAGAGTTGTTGCACTTGACTACACGTCAAACTATAACAGGCGACCAATGAGTGTTCCTCAAAAAACATTTAATATTCCAGCCTATTTTTATTCTCTTTCCTTCTTCTCCCAATGCTGTAAGCATCTATTTTTTTTCAGCTGAACAAAGCCTTAGGCACAAGAGAATGAATTACGTCAATAAAGGTCCCTACAAATGTAGTTTGAACCCTTTGTGTGAGTACCCCTCGGGATATCAACATATCTAAATATATACTGAAGCTTGAGGGCAAAAATAGCAAAATCACTTCCTCTTCGTCTCCTTTCTTCCCCTCCCCCGACTTTTTTACACTCCTTTTCCGAGCAGCTCCTAAAAGCTCTGTTTTGCTTCAAAGCTTTTGCTAAAAAGGAGTTTCCACCACTCTGACAACCTCACACTCTCACTATATGCTGATGATTGCACAACTTCTTTCCATTTCCCGTCACCAAACCCTTGAGCAAGGCACTTATCCCCTGATGTGGTGTGATTACTTGCACTTTATTGGAACTCTTGAATGTATCTGTCGGTGTGTGATGGCATGTCTGCAAGCTTGCCTTTTTTGTACATGTGTTTGTTTGTCAACCCTTGAGCTCAGTTGTGTCTTTCCGACTGAATCATGTTTTTATAGCAGGATGCCAGCTGCTTTCATTACCCAGCAACCCAGGAATGCAGTAAAGCATATGGGACTGTGGTAAACGCCCCGCGTTGTCTAGGTTGGTAAGAAAACCAACAACTAAACACTAACATTAGCTACAGCACATGAGCACCCATAGATGGTGTCTCTGAACCACACATGTCACACTGATGGTGTGGTTTTAAAACCCCAGCAGAGGAATCTGCCCTCGTTCTGCCCGCCTGTGAAGCCCTGCAATGTCTCATTTCTAAAGATGGTTCAGTTTGATTTGATTTCTTTTTTCGGTTTCCATTGGTGAAAAATTCTAGATAGAACCTTCCGGGTACTTTTTCTTGGTATCACTTTAGCCGCATTTCCAAGCAAGCGTGTTGCAATTGGGTCAAGTGGTTTTCAATGGTTATTTTCAAAAAGTAAAAGTTTTGGAATACACATTTGAATACAAAGCTAAATGTATACATGGTCCGAGCTATCTGAGTAAATATCAGTCAGGAGAAACTTAGTTGTGAGTGAACAATTATTTATTTTACAAGTTTGGACAAAGAGGAATGTACATTGTCTTAGGTGATTGGACTCCGTTGAGACGTCTTAATGGACCTAAGGAATAGTGAGGCTGACAGCAGGAAAGTATTCCCCCTTGATGGAGTCTCGACTCTGGTGGTGGTGGTAAAGTAAGGATGCAGGATGAAATGAAGGGTAGACTTCTAAGGAGCTGAACCCGGTCACTGATGAGATGGATTGGAGGTGACTGGGGTGGAGGAGGGTCACAGCGATCACATTGAAAAGACAACCTGACTTCTGAAGGGAGAGAGAGAGCAGACCCTTGGACGCTCAAGGTCTCTGGCCTCGTCATGCTGCATCTGGTCAACTTTTTATTTACATCATTATTTCTAAATCAGATGTTACTATTTTATTCATACATATTGTCCTACTTCTCGACAAGTGCTTCAACTGCTGGGCTGTTTCATGGTGTACACTTCAAAAGAATCAGTAAAAAAGTAAAACAGACTTAACTTGAGTGACAGCAAGGGGGGAGGGGATTGTCTGTTGTGGGTAGGGAACAGTGTTTTGTTCAAGTTAATGTGTGTATAGATTTCTCAAACTCAATGAGAGTTAAGTCTCATAATCAGCTGATCACTGCAGGAGGAAGACCGAGGGAGAGGGAGAGGGAGAGAGGGAGGGATATGATGACACAGTCTTCCTGCTTGAACGTTCACTGAGCTTCATAACATGACATGAAGTTCCTGCCTGTGCCTCAGTTAGACTGTGACATTGATGTGACACTCATTGGAGAATTTGGCCTCAAGGAAGCATATGCTGTCTTTAGTGGAAAACAAAGTACAAATAGTGCTTTAACGATTTCTGAGCATGCAATATGTGTAAAACATTAAAACTCATGTCGACTGATACCTGAGATCTCAAAGATGACGCAGCTTTCTTCAACTCTCCTTTTTAACGACAGTGCTGCAGAAGTTTTCAGTACAATGGCGGACAACAGATGTACGTTTTAGGGCTGTTGTCACAAGCTTTTTTAATTAATGCGTCCATTTTAATTGGTCCTTAGTCAGGAAACATTTATATAGAATCAGAGTGTTCTTGTAATTACTTTGTTCAGGTTATGGCTTTTAGAAGAGTTGCACAGATTGTAAATTTGAGAGCTGATACTGGTAGTGTTGTATTCAAGACCACACCAAGACATACCCGAGAACTCAAGAGCGAGACAAGACCAAGACATTTAGGGATCCAGGCCGAGTCAAGACCAATACAAAGGCAGACCGAGACAAGACCAAGAACATAAATATCTAGGAACAATCATCACATTGTGTGCAGCGAGCGTGTCACTTACTTAGACTGTAACACTGGGAAGGTTGCGGCCGTAACCGGGGGATACAAATCTAATTATTAATTAATTTAAATAATTTGTCTTTTACAGTAACAGTAATGACGATCAGTGGTGGTCTTGACTGATCTTGATTTAAAATCTGGAGTCCGCCCAGTCTAAGACCAAGACAAGACTGAGGAAAAATGCTTTTGATTCCAAGACAAGACCGAGACCTTCAAAAGTGGCCCCGAGATCGGTCTTGCAACCAAAACTGTTTTTTTTTTTTCTTCAAATATCTTTATTGATTTTCTGATATACAAGTATATAACAAAAATGACTCAACAGTTTCACAAAGGCGATCCGTGTGATAAGTGGAAGAAATAAAGGGAGAGATCACATCTCCGGCAGACCGTACACAGACCAGCAACAAAAACAATACAGAGAAAACTGAATTGTAGTAGAACAACAGATACAACAAATAGCAAAAACAAAACACGGGGGGGGGGGGGGGCATGTTACACCTCAGAAATAGAAAATTACAAATAACATAGATAATAAATCAGAGACAGCATCCAAATTTTACAATCCTGTGCATCATAGCATCACAACACACCAACATATATCACAATATGTGTAGCTCCATAGGGAATCAGTCAGATACTCCTATGATCGATGAGACCCTTCATTACAATGCTTGTCAGTCTAGCACCAATATATTTTAAGATTGATTTTGTGTAATACAACACTAGATACTGGTACTTGTTTTTTAAAATAACAATTTAGCTGCTTGCCAATTCCAATCGAATGCTCTTGCTTTGTTATTTATCATGTCTGTCAGTAACAACTTTGAATCATAAAAATGGGGTCCTTGCACCTTGTGGCTGCTCGGGCCCTAAAGGTCAGACACATCAGAAAATCAAAAGACAATTACCTTCGATTGTGTTTGGCTTCAGACATGTTTGATCTCACACTGACTGACCTGCACTCGTAACCTGAGGACCACAGAACTTTTTATTTGCAATAAACACACACATACACACTAGCCACATAAACACATACACACCAGCCAATGCTGATGAAAGATTCATAGATTCATGTTGAAAAGATGATAGAGGCACATTCCCTTCTGCTCCACTTACCCCTGTGGACAAATTCTGCCCACCAACCAGCACAGATACACACACACACACACACACACACACACACACACACACACACACACACACACACACACACACACACACACACACACACACCGACACACCAACCATGGACCCGTTAAGAGGAAAGCGAGCCTCTGATGCACACAGCTGCGGGGTACTTACTCACCCTCAACCTTCCAAGACATTGGCACACAAACACACACATGCACACACACACACATCTTTGCTGTCAAGAGACTGATGTTGCAGACTGCTTTCTAGGCTGTCTGGTAGACTCTGTGAATGTGTGTTTACGAGAATGTCTTTATTTGTGAGTGCGTTAAAGATCTTTATTTTTACTCTCCCCCTGTAGCAGAGAACCCAGAAGAATAGAAGAAAACTAGTTTCGGTTGGGCGTGTCATGATCAGGGTCGAGTTATTGGCTGGAGGGCGAGTAGAGGCAGTAAAAAATAATTTCATACTTTTCTATTATTATTCGTAATCAACCCTGCAGAGTTTCTGCTTTAGGACTTCTGGCCAGAATAAACAGGTAGTCTTGTTACTTTAACACATTTTTGGGCCTAAAAAACAAGATTTGGAGAGGAAAGTGAACAACATATTTATAAAACTTGTTATTTGTTTTATGATATATGATGTTCTTTTACCTTATGCTCTTGCTTTACTCCACTACATTTCTGGGGAAGTAAAACACTTTTTAGGCCACTACATTTATTTCACATGAAATTCAAATTCATGTAATCCATCATCACAGTCCATCCACTGGTGGTTGAGATAATCTTTATTTTATTTGTATTTCAGTCTTGTCTTCCGAGCCAGTACAATGTTAAAAATAAAAACTGTACACTTGCAATTAGAATTATTCCATCTTTTGCCGTTTAGTCTGATTTGGTGGCAAATGTATGTTTTATTTAACTAAAATATTCAGTTATCACAATTATTGAAATTAATTCAATAAATCAATTAACCTGAACATCTCTGTGTCCCCTGCCAGGTGAACATCTGAGGATGTGTCCCCAGGGTCCGACCTGCTGCACCAGCAAAATGGAGGAGAACCTGGCCGGTCTGAGCGGCCGAGAGACCGAGGGACTGATTAGAGAGGCCGGCAGGTCGCTGCAGGCAGCCTTCAACGCTCTCCACAGGAGCTTTGACAGTAAGTACAGCGCATGTGTGTGTTTTTGTGTGTGCGTCTGTGTGTGTGTGTGTGTGTTTGCAGTATATGCTCATTACCGGCTGAGCTCAATACCAAAGCTTCAGCGCTGAAGCCCAGAGGAGTATGACATTTGTACATTGAGTTTGTGAATTTGTGTTCGGTACAAGCTCCGACTGTGCTCTGCGCTCAATCCTGCAGCTTCAAAAGTGACGACGTATGTGTGAGAGTGTGTGTGTGTGTGTGTGTGTGTGTGTGTGTGTGTGTGTGTGTGTGTGTGTGTGTGTGCAAGTGTGTGAGGCAGGATGTGTTTGTGTCCTGTGCGTCAAGGGGACCCCTGACTGGGTGTTATAATGAGAGCAGAGTCAGCCAGACACAATGAAACGTGATAAGCCGATCCCCTGATCTCAAAGGGGCGCACACACACACACACACACACACACACACACACACACACACACACACACACACACACAAACACACACACACATACGCACACATACACACACAAACAGAGGGGTGTCCCCCGAGGCAGTGGCTGGTTCAGCTAATGAGCAGTTGACCCACTGAGGAGCCGAGTCTGCAGATCACTGCACGTCAGAGAAAGAGAGGGATGGAGGGAGGAAGAAAAGGAAGACAGACTGAGAAGTGCCACAGCTAACATTTGGAAGATAAATAAACGTGGCAGAAGATAGAAATGTGTCATTAGTTGTGGGTACAAAACAAAAAATCAAAGTTAAAAATAAATAGGAGGAGGAGGAGGAGGAGGAGGATGAGGAGGATGAGGAGGATGAGGAGGAGGAGGAGGAGGAGGAGGGGGGAGGTATTAGTTTGAAGGCAGCAGGCCACCTCAGTAGCATTAATGTGGCCGCCCATCTGGTTGTGGTTAGAACATGCTGGCACCGGTCCACATCCTTTGAAGCAGCAGACCAGTTTACTGCAGAGACAGCGAGCTGACTCCCTTATTCTTTCCATTTGACCTCTCTATTGCCGAGTATCCATCTGGACTGCAAAGATAATTTCACAGAAACCTTAAGATATGCTAAATTATTGTAAAATACATGCGCTAATCAGCTGGAATGTAAAAAAAACAGTTAATCAGGGTATTCTCTGCAATTCCCATTGTTTCATTGATTAAGAAAATTCTTATTCTTTATCATTAACTATAAATATGCATGTAGCGGTTTTCCTCTTATGCCATTTCAACATTAGTAAATGTGACATTTTGGGGATCACAGCTGGGTATTTGGATATTTCACATCATTAAAAAAGCTATTGGTTAGACAATTACTTGTGCATGTGTGAATATAGCATGGACTTTATACCAATAGTGCATTCTGACCCAGCACCCAATTGGAAGAAATCCACCCAAAAGACGGGTTCATAGTCCAGGAATATGCATCCATGTTTTCAGATATACTCTACATTCAAAGCCTATATTCATACAGTTGATAACTATTAGCAAAAATAGCACTTTTTGTGATAAATTTAGACTTTTGGACTTTTTTGCCTTTTGTGGATATGACAGAGAGTTAGGTATGACGTGCGGCATAGGTACGAGGTCGGATTTGAACCAACAGCCGCTGTGACATCTGTACATGGGGTGTGTGCGACCTAACCCCTAGGCTATGGCACTTCAAGAGGGGCTAAGCTAAAATAGCTTTTTAGTGTCCCTCAGCTCTCAGTTTTTGGTTTTCATCGCACACATGAATGATACATTTGTCCAAAATGCAAAGAGTAAAATAAGTTTTCCTCTTAGGAAATGGCTGTGACCAAAACTGAGCAATAATGAAATCATAATAAAATAATAAATATGACTTTGTTTCATAAGATATCCATGAAATAAGACAGTTAGTTTGTTGTTTCAGCTGGCTGTGTAAAAAGGCTAACTGGTAGCTATTAGACAAGGCTTTAATTGTTAAGTGTGAAAGATGAGCTCATGTTGAGAATTGTGAAGACAAAGTGGCCAAAAACTGATTTTGTTATGAAATGATACAGTTTAAAATAAAGTTCTTGTAACAAAAAGGAGTTAAAACTCATCTATTCCACTGTCTTGTCTAATTTGCCTCATGTCTCCTTCTTTTGTTCCCTTGTCTGTCATTTCCCTCTCCTCTTTCCTCCTCAGCTTATTTCACTGAGCTGCACAGCACTTCTGAGCGCTCCCTGCAGGAGGCGCTGTCTCCACTCGGCCCGCTGTACTCCCAGAACACTCGACTTTATGGAGATCTCTACAACGACCTGAAACAGTACTACAGGGGCTCAGCCCTCAACTTGGATGAAACCCTGACTGAGTTCTGGTCCCGCCTCTTTGAGCGTACCTTTAAAACCACAGCTCCATCAGATGTGAGTAAAAGCTTTTTAGAGTTTTAACAACGAGACCATTCAATGATAGACTGGTGTGCAGAGTGATGTATATCATAATCTTATAAACCTTGGAGAGTCAGAAAGCAGAGCACCATTTGGATTGAAGTTTGATGATACTGATAGACTCTATATAAGAAATGGACGTAGCTGAAATGAAGTCACCATTCACATTGGCTTTTCGACTTCCTCCTTTAAATTGAAGGTTTGGCATATTTAGTCTTACAATCTCAGTTTTTTGTCAATAGAAGTGATGAGAGGGCGGGGCTGGAGAGGAGCAGAAGTGTTTGCAAACACTAAGTTAGCAGCCTACGCTACTGTCAGCTTTCAGTAACCGTGATTTTGAGTGGGAAAATTTTGCCACATGTAAGCTTCAAACATTACGTTCTGTAATCAAACCCTAACTGAATACTGAACATGGCATTTTTCCAGTCGTCTTGGTAATAACTTGTCAGTCACAAGGTAGCCACACCCAAACAAACACTGTCTTGGCATATATTTGCACTTGCACATCATGCTGTTTTTACAAAAACCTGATTTGTCTGTATACTTTATATTTGGCTGTACTATAGTTTAAGAATTTTGTGAACTCATTCCCCTGAAATATTCAGCTGCTGCCTGAACTGTCCCTCCTCAGTAAGTGTTTCTGGCACATAAAGAGAACTCTTACACACTGTGACAAGCATTTTTAGACGCATCACTTTTGGCACTTTTGTATCTATTATTGTTCTTAAATGCAAAAGCCAGAGTTGATGTATAATTTTTCTCTCTTTTGGGGAGTCGTTTTCTTTTATTAGAGAGGTAAGCTAAAAAGAAACAGGAAACGTGGGGAAGTGAGAGTGATGTGTGTGAGGCCAGGAGTCGAACCAGCAACCAGTTGGTCAAGGACTGACTCTATTTTCGGAGCCCCTTCAAAAAAATGTTGAGCTAATCCAGTGCTCAAGAAAAAGCGCTTTAAAGCTCTTATCTAATGAAATACCTGTGATAGGGTGGAGGTCCTGGCTTGGGTTCTTGTTGCATATTGACCCTAGCTCTCCATCTCTGACAAAAATTGTGAAAATTACCAAAAATGAGCTCAGTTGGAGGAGCAGGTACTCCATGTAAAGAGGCTTCAGTCTGCTTCAGACTGGTCGCCCTGTCATCCCCCGCTCTCTCTCCAAACATTCGCTCTTTCTAAAGCTTTCTTACCCGGTAGAGACATATACAACATACCATTTATTAAATGATTTGTCCTCTGTCATCTTTGTCTTGCAGGTTAACATGTCAGAGGACTACCTTGAATGTGTTGCTAAGCAACAGGAGACGCTGCGGCCATTTGGAGATGTCCCCCGAGACATGAAGGTGAAGGTGATCCGGGCTTTTGTCACAGCCAGGTCGTTTGTCCAGGGGCTGGTCACCAGCGGAGAGGTTGTCAGGAAGGTGTCCCAGGTGAGAGTGAGTGTGTGTGTGTGTGTGTGTGTGTGTGTGTGTGTGTGTGTGTGTGTGTGTGTGTGTGTGTGTACATAAGTGATCTAAAGAACCACAGACAGGTAGACATGGACTGACATGATGAGCTGGTGTGAGAAAAACTGTGTGTTCGATTGCCAGTTTGTTTCTTGTTGATAAAAGATTGTGTGTGTGTGTGTGTGTGTGTGTGTGTGTGTGTGTGTGTGTGTGTGTGTGTGTGTGTGTGTGTGTGTGTGTGTGTGTGTGTGTGTCTGGGCTGAGTCCCAGGAAAGCAGATCTGATGGATGGTTGTCACACCCTAACTGTCAGAGAAAATGTCTCCACCCTTAAAAATGAAAAACACAAAGATCTTAAAAAAATGGAGCGTCTCACTCCTCCATCGGAACAAAGAGCTCATTTGGAGGGATGACAGCAACGTTGTCCATGATGTGTGTGATGATGTTTTTTCCGCTCTCAGTGCAGTTTTTCAACCCTCAGACACCCCGAGTGTTTGATGTGACAGTTGGATTGGCTGTTGTTGGATGTTCGCCCAGCTTACATCATCAAAATAAGAACTTTGGAAAAAAAAACACATATTTCCTGATTCAATGCTTATAGATTGAATATGACAAGAGATGCACAATATTGGTTTTCTGTCTATATACTGATATTCTCCAAGTCATACTTGCTGACGCTGATAATGACTTTGCACATAATTGTTCTACCCTATTGCATCGAGTCTTTCATGAAGTCAAAGCTCCAATCAATGTGTCTTCTCTTATTCTGATGACGCAGATATAAATGATGTAAAATGCAGCAACCTATCCACAGCAAACATTTTTCTTTGACAAACAGTCATTTTGAAAACCTCAGCAAATACACAACTTTACCACAACACAAACTGTTTAGGTAACATCTGCTGCTGGGCCAATCATAGGTCACACTAAATCTAACAGTGACTGGTGCAATATTCTTTTTTTAGATCTGGGTTTAAAAAAAAAAAAAAAAGTATTTCATGCATTTCATGAAGATTTCTGCCTTTTAATAAGGCAGTTTTTTCTTACCACTGTAACTTTTGCTGCTTTGCTAAAGTGCTCATGATGGATAGGCCGAGTCTTTGTAACATAACAATGAGTAAGGTCTTTTTACCTGCTCTTTTGTAATGTTAACAGACAAAGAGTAAGGTATTTTACCTGCTCTTTTGTAATGTTAACAGACAAAGAGTAAGGTATTTTACCTGCTCTTTTGTAATGTTAACAGACAAAGAGTAAGGTATTTTACCTGCTCTTTTGTAATGTTAACAGACAAAGAGTAAGGTATTTTACCTGCTCTTTTGTAATGTTAACAGACAAAGAGTAAGGTCTTTTTACCTGCTCTTTTGTAATGTTAACAGACAAAGAGTAAGGTATTTTACCTGCTCTTTGTAAAGTGTCTCGAGATAACACTTGTTATGAGTTGACGCTATACAAATAAAAATTGATTGATTGATTGATTGATTGATTTATTGATTGATGCATAGACTCAAAGTGGACTCAACGTACTTGGTTATAGTTTATTAATTATACCTTCAGAGCTCCTGTGAGGAACTCTCAGTTCGTTACTCTTCCTGCTATCAGGAAAATGTTTCACTCATCAAGAAACTTTCCTGTCATTAAAAATAACTTTACTGAAATAATACATTTGTTTGCTTACTTTTATAGCTCATAAAGATTCTTCTGTATTAACTTAACAATGTATTTCATAACCAACTAAAAACTCCTCACAAAACTCATCTCTACCCATCAGTTAATAACAGATTTATTGGCTTACTTACACACCAGTTAAGCAGCTTTACAGACCTGACATGACCAGAGATATTTGATTTACCTTTTTGACATTACTCAAACATTCAGGAGTTATTGATTTAAAAGCTCTGATAGCTATCATTTAATCTTTTCTGTGATTGTTAATAGTTTGTTTAGTGATTTTTTAAAATGTTCAAATGTTTCTTTTTCTCTTTGTCATTATACTTTTGACGTCTTGTGTGTGGCACTTTGGAATATCTTGTTGCTGACTTCTATATACAGTATATTTTCTTACAAGGCAGGTTCTTTTTATATAGCACATTTCAACAACAAGGCAATTCAAAGTGCTTCACACAAGACATCAAAAGCATCATGACAGAGGAAAGAAAAGAAACATTAAAATAGCACATTTAAAAATCACTAAAATTATTAAATCTGAAAATATGTTCAAATAAGAATAATTCAAATTAAATTAATTGAAATAAATAAAGTTAAAATATAAAAAGAGTTAAAAGTTACAGTGCAGAGTTAAAGTTTAAAATCTTATGAAAGCTGTTTAATGAAAGGCAGCTGTAAACAGGTGTGTCTTCAACCTCGATTTAAAAGAGCTGAGAGTTTCAGCAGACCTGCAGTTTTCTGGGAGTTTGTTCCAGATATAGTTCCCAGGTATCCATTAGCTTCTACTCAGTTATAATCTGAGTAAATTCTAACTAACTACAGCGGTATAATAGTATGACAGAGACTTCAGGTCAAAACTTATTCCTCAAAGTTACATTAGTGACATTAGTGCAGATAAAGCATCGTACCAGTATATATTAGAGTGTAGTATAAAAAGAATGTATCTCTACACAATATAGTGCTGATGTCAAGAATTATTTATTAAATGATTCAAGCAACTTTAAAGACTCTTTGGACTGATTTTCAAGTTTGGACAAAGCATCCAAATATCTAAAAGTATAAAGCTAAAAACTGAAAATAGTCTGTAGAATTGTACTTTTTTAATCAGGCGCATTCAGTGACTACCTGCCCTCATTTTGGAGCTGGTTTTCAGTTTCCCTCCGTTACTTCTGTGCAGGTTTTGTGGTGTAAAAAAAACCCCCAAAAAACTGTGTGGAACTGGACACCTTTTCATGACTTGCCTTCATAATCAGAGGCTGGCTGTGTAACAGAAACCATGTACTGTATAAAGACTGACAAGGAGGGTCATCATTGCTTTCTTTGTCAGGTTTAGTCCCTTAAAATGTAGCAACACTGCCCTCTGCTGGTACTTTTATGTGACTTTTTGTACTCTGTTAAGCGTGGGCTTTCTCAAACCGAGAGAGGAGGATAAAAAAGCCATTTCAAGACATCAAGTATTGCATTACAAGAGGAGCTAGAGCGTATATATTAACAGTCATCATTCAGGAAACAACTCAACTAAAGGGAATGTCGTTCTCTCCCTACTGTCCCTGAGGTTTGTGATGCTAACTGAGCAGTTGTACCTCCTCAGGTTTCTCTGAGTCCGGAGTGTGTGAAGGCCCTGATGAAGCTGGTTTACTGCCCTCACTGTCGGGGTATGGCCTCCGTCAAACTCTGCTCTGCCTACTGTTCCAACGTTATGAAGGGCTGCCTGGCCAACCAAGCTGACCTGGACCCAGAGTGGCAGAACCTCATCGGTAAAATTCAAACTATTAAGTAGAGCAACGTTAGTCGAAGATGGAAATGATCCGGAGTTTATGATCAGACTGAAAGGATGTGTGGAAAAGAAACAAGAACTCTTAAAACAAACTGCTTCTTATGGGGCACTTGGATGGATGTAAGGATACATGTTGCATTCAGACTGGTCAATTAAGTGAAGAACAGTCTGCCTTCATCCACGAGTTAGAAGCACACTTTGACCTGAAATCAAATGAGTTCAGTCAAAATGAATATGTAGTTATACTATGTATTTATAGAACATATGTTACATTTCCCAAGATGACTAATGGAAGAGGGGAGTAACAATAAAATAAAACCGAGGTAAGGGAAAGAGGAACTTTTCAGCAACTTTTAAAGGATTTATTTACAAACTAATGAAAAAAGCACACCACAAAACAAGCTTCTTTCACAAAATACAATTTTGATTAACAAAGTCCAAATAAACTAATAATCCAGAATACATTAAGGAAACACCCTCCTCCCACAGACAGTGTACACTTCCGGAAAAAAATAGCACTCAGCAGAGTAGTCCAGTGACCCTGACCGCCTGCTCCCTCCTGCTCTTTATACTCTGCCCACTGATGGCAGAGTGGGCACAGGTGGGCTCGATCAGCTGCAGTGAGGCAAGGAGCAACACCTGCAAGGGAGCACAAGAGAGAGAGAGAGGAAGAAAACAAAAAGCACACACACACACACACACACACACACACACACACACACACACACACACACACACACGTAACACATATATCCAGCAAAGATTTATAATGCAAGAAAACTCTATGCACCATATCAAGAAGGGACAAGTACGTAGAAGTGCAGTGAGTAATTAAAAGATACATGTGAACAATTTAATCTTTTATGAACAATTCATGTTCAATGTTCAATGAATGAATCAGGCTGCTTTGCTGAGCTAAACATGAAGTTTAGATTCAATTGTAAATGCAGATGAAAAGGCTAAAATTAGTGTAAACACAAAAAAACAAGGATGCACTGAAGTCGATTCTTAACCACAATTATGTGAATATTTATATCCATAGAATAGATTTTCAGTTGTATGCCTCATATTGTTAAAGAGCATGCTTAGTTTGAAATCTTTACATAGATTTTATGCCCTAAAAAATATATAATTTTGCACTGGGGTTTGCTCAGGGTTTAAAATAACAAGTCTTCTTCTCTTCTGTTTCAGACACCATGATCCAGGTGGCCTCCAGTTTCAGCACAGAGCCCAGCCTGGATGTGGTTCTGTCCTCCATCCCTGCTCGGATCTATGAGGCCGTTCACTTCTTGCAGGAAAACATGGAAACAGTCACAGCAAAGGTAAGACGTCTCACTTTGTCTTCAGAGCTTCTTTTTTTGCACCAGTTAGAGACCTTCATGTCTCCTACCCTGTATCCTTGTAATTACAGAAAGATACACAGATGAAGTCATTGTCCCGGTGAAGCGATTACCTTACGTATTCCTGAGGCATGGCCCGTGTTCATAGATTTAGCTTCTCACTACTAACTTTAATTTTTTATACATGTGGTAGTTTTATGGATGTATCCTTCGAATGAGGCGTGGCAGCGTTACTGAGCAGCTAGCCTCCAATAATATTTATACTGACGTATAAATCAGTGGCGTTTTATTGGACAGGCAGAAAGTGCAGCTATGAACAGTCTTGGCCTTGTTTTCAATGCCAACCAGTTCCATTTTTTTCCTTTGAATAAAATTAATGTTCAAGGTCAGTTAAAGTCCCTTTGCATTAACTTTAACATATAAATCAAGTTTTTCTATATATATATATAAGCCCCTTAAATACTCTTATTACTGCCCATGCAGCCTCACATTTTGTAACACTATTATGAGTCTCTGGTGACATCTAGTGGAGGTTCTTGTTCTTACAAATATTGAATACAGACTTACCAGTCCTTTCTAGTTTTGATGCGTTGATGTGTTTTACAAGAAGGTACATTCAAACAAAGCCTATGAATAAATCTATAAAACCTCTGTGGGTATGATAGAAACCTGTGAAGTGCTGAACAAAAACGTTACCCATAAGACAGAAAGGTAAAAACAGACATAAAGAATAACAAATACTATCAAAAATATGATTTTTTTTTAAACTCCACAAATGAGAAAGTGCATAATTCTTGTTTAAAAAAAGCAAAAACCTGATCTCACCTACTGTTTCTCCTGATTATATGTTCAGGTGTATCAGACATGTGGAACTCCAGGCGAGACAGGAACAGGAAGTCCCGCCCCTCACGAGCAGAAGAAGAAGAGCGGCTCCCTGACCGCATCCGAGTACAAACCCTCTCCAACCGCTGGACTCAGACTGGAGATGCAGGTGTGTTGATAAAAACATATTTGACATGTATGTGCATGTTGTAAGTTGAGATATTATTCCAAGGCCACAGGAAACAGAGAAAACTGTGGATATCTCTCTACATAAGCATTCATCTCTACATTGAAACACATCGGTTAACGTCTGATGACGACTCGGCCTGAGAGGGGAGAGAACCAAAGTTTTCAGGGCTTCAGGTGTGACCAGTGTTCAGCAGTAAAAGACTTCCTTCTCTGTGCATTGCCACCATTAACAGCCTGACTAGAAACTTGAGAATCAAGACTGTAGATAGGCTGGAGACATTTTATCCAAAGAGCGTATTGTTACCTGCACTTGTGTGCAAATAGACATTAAAGCTGGATGGTCTCTAAATTTGCAAATTGGATCCAGGATGTAATTTCCTCTCATGGGTTTGCCTCTTTAAACAGTCTGTTTACCTGCATACACAGTTTCCCGCTGAAACGCTTGTTGACAAAACTAATCCCAATACAAACCTGCACCTGATCCTGCACCTACAGATTCTGCATAAAAGGCTTAAATCTGCAGGCGTGGGATTGGGATTAGTTTTGTTATGACTTACATAAAGGATTTTAATGGTTGACAGGATTTCTCTGGTGGGATCGAGCGGAGAGGGAAAGGTTTTTGGGATGAAAAGATGGACTGATCTAAATCACATGAATGTTACATCGCAGGTTGTTTCATACATTGCGTTTGAAGGCTTTCATCAATAGACGTGGTTCCAAAATGTAGGATTGACGCTCATTATGTCACGTCGACTGCAGCTTTTTCTGATGCTGTTAACGACTTGAGAACACATTGAACATGATTTAAAAACCCATCATGTCTCGTTTTGGATTGTATACCCCCAAAACTAGGATTAGCGATGCGACTCAGCTCTTGTTGTCTCCGTCCTCAGGTGTCAGATCTGTCCAGTAAGCTGAGGGAGATGAGGCAGTACTGGATCCAGCTGCCTGTGGCACTTTGCAGCAAGATGGCAGCAGGAGGCGGCGGACAGGATAAATGCTGGAACGGCATAACGAAATCCAGGTGAGCAAGAGAGCGGCTCCTTGCTAGTGTCGCTTTCACTGACAATTAACAAGGTTGCCGTTAGCCTCATAGCATAATTGCCTAAGTCATATTTTAGGGTTTTCAGAAAAGAAGAATAAACACATTCCAAGTCATGTGACTCGAATCCACACCTCTGCAGTTCATTCAGATTGACTGAAAGTATATTTACTGTATAGAAAGTTGAAGAAATATGAACTAGCTTAGCGAATGAAATAAAGAGAAGAGCTAATGCTTCACTTGTGGTCAGCTGAGCCCTGTTTTTCATGGTGGCCGCCATCTTTGTATGTAGTGTCAAAAATGCCTAAGTCAAAAGAGATGACTGAGGCAGATAGTGGTTTTGGAATGTAACAAGCATTCTGATAGGCTGAGGACATAGCCAGTAATGCACGGTGAATCAGCAGTGTAAGGAGAGTAGAGTTAGGCAGATATCAGAATTTGGCCAAAATATGACTTAGGCAATTATGCCATGGTAAATGGTAAATGGACTTGGGCTTATATATCACTTTTCTAGTCTTCCAACTACTCAAAGTGCTTTTACACCACCTGTCACACCCATTCACACACTGATGGTAGTGATTGCTATGTAGTATCATCCATCAGAAGTAACTAATCCCATTCATACACTGCCACTGAAGCAACGGGAGCAATTCTGGGTTAAGTGTCTTGCCCAAGGACACATTGGACATGTTGCTCAGCTGGGGATCTAACCCTCAACCTTCTGGTTGAGAGGCGGCGACTCTACCAATTGAGCCACAGCCGCCCTCACCACATCTACAGCCACAGCCGTTATGAGGCAAACATTGTAATGTTTACATTTGACACGCTCTGAGCAAAAGTGCAGACGATTTTTCAAAAACGTGTTTACCTACAGTGGCCTTCAGGTGTTGTGTAGTCATGTTGTTGTTTGACACTTTTTCCTTTTCTTTTTAAATTATTCCAGCTTTTTGGGCTTTATGAGGGATGACGCTTTTAGAGAGACAGAAAATGAGGGAGAGCAGGAGGGAGGAAACATTTACCGGACAGTGTCAGGATCAGGAGTCGAACTTGAAAGTGCGATGAGGAATGTAACCTCTTTACAGAGTGCCTGCTCTACCAACTGAGAAAAAGCAGCACCCCAGCAACATTTCATCATCACCTCAAGATTAACATATTTATTAGTTTGCAATCAAATTAGCTCCTAATTATGTTGCCATTCAGTAATACTATTTTTTCTGCTTTTCACCAAAGGCTCACTAGCCAAATTCAAGGAAGCAAAAAAAAAGAAAAAATGCAGCCATTCAAATGTTTGGGGAACCTGAGAGTTTCCAAATCAACTAACATGCATGATTTTAGGCTGTGGTTGAATCACTTAAAATATGATAATGTTCCAGCAACCATTCAATCTTTTCCATTCTCCAAAAAAAACATGACTGTAGAGCTCTGAATAAAACCCTTTCATGGTCTTTCAGAATAAGTTTTCAAAAAGGTTTTCTTTTAAAAATTCATGCAGAAGGGAAACAAGATTCACGACACGCAGAAGACCTTCATTATCTGTATGTGCTGTACAAGTCAAAAACATGAGGAGACAATAGCTAGCACCTGATAGGTACAGGCCTCTCGTTGTATAGGGCCGTTTGTATCCTTTGTGTCCAAACAAAAGAAGACATTTCAAAGAAGCTCTTCCTCGTCTGACAAACTGAAAATGCATGCGTATGGTAATGTATTCCCAGGTGCTGACATTTCCTCTATGAACAGCGTTGTAGAAGCCCTTGGAGATCCACATCCCTTGCAGCACAAGCATTCACGGCCACGCACTCACACAGCCTGAAGCTATGTGGAAATGGATTATAGAACAATTTGATGCCACAGTCACATGTCGACATGTTTTCTCACCCTCCGCTCACACCCCACATGCTTTAAAGTAGCTGGATTACAGTGAACTGATGAGATTTGTGCTCAGCAGAACATTCAAAATAAAGGGCAGTCAAAAGGCATGAAGTATAGATTTATTCTGAATGTGTGTGCATGCACAAGAGAGAGACGCATGTGAGAAAGGCTGTGAAATATGGATGAACTGCTGACTGCGTGTGACAGATTTAGGAAATGTGAAATTTACGGAGGGCAGAAAGTGAATTAAAACAGTTTGAATCTCTGCAGCGACCTCCGGTGGATATCTTTGGAGCTCAATCATTGTCACACACAAAATCACAGCTCTGATAAATTCTCTGATTTGATGCTGGAATATAAAGTGGAGTGTGGGTTTTAAGAGGTTAATATGAACCTAAAGCAGCTGCGACCCCTTTGGAAATGGTTATGACACACCACTCGGACCTCACTCCCTTAAAGAACCATTTTGGAGTGACTTGTGTTTCCAGTATGTGTTATAGGTTCATGTGACACACAAACATCATTTTATTCACTCTGGCAAGTAATAGGGAAACACATCACAGACACATCAGGGCTATGGCTCAGTTGGTAGAGTCGCTTGTCTCAGTTTTTGCCGTCTGCTTGGTGTGTCAGGGCCCTTAAGTGGAAAGTTGGGGGTTCGATCCCTGACCCCTGCAGCCACATGTCCGAGCAAGACACTTAACCCCTAAGTTGCTTGAATGGGATAAGTTGCTTCTGATGGTCACTTTACACAGCAGCCTCTGACATCAGTGTGTGAGTGTGTAGGTGTGATCTGTGGTGTAAAAGTGCTTTGAGTAGTGACTAGGAAAGCGCTATACAAGCTCAAGATCATTTACCATTTGCCAGTGAGGGTCCTCATAAGTGCCGACAAAACACACCTGTGTGTTTGTTTGTTTCTATCTGCTGACTGGGCACTGTCAGCACAAAATGCCACGTCTAATTTAAAAGATTGAGCACAGCTGTGCACGCTCACAGAGTGAATGCATACATGTGTTTTCAACTCAACAAATGTGTTCCAATAAAACTGTGCTTTAAACATGTTTACTCATTTCCTGGATCTACTTCTGTATACCAACATTGAAGAGTTACTTCAGTGTTGAGTGCATTAGGGAAAAAAACTGATTCAGATTTCTTGTAACAGCCAATAAAGTTGTTTCTGTTTTGATTTAATCCCTCTGTTGTCTCCTCTCTTCTCCAATAAGGTACCTTCCTGAGGTGATGGGGGATGGCTTGGCCAACCAGATCAACAACCCAGAGGTGGAGCTTGACATCACAAAGCCAGACATGATCATCCGGCAGCAGATCATGCAGCTGAAAATCATGAGCAACAGACTGAAGAATGCTCTGGAGGGGAACGATGTGGACTTCCAGGACGCAAGTGGGTCTCTTGATAATGTTTCAAAACGTACTTTCCTGTGTTAATAATTCATACATGAAACACAATCTTGTTTCGTTACAAACTCATACATGCACGATGTATACCACTTCATGATGGTCAGGAGTTGATCACAAATGGGACAAATAACCATAAACTCACGACTAATACACTTGGTATCTATTCATGATGCCACAAATAAAGTGTTAGCCTCATAAGAACTAAGAAGTGGGACCTAAATGTGACATTATTCTTCTGATTTCTTAAACCTTTTTTTTTTTTTTACATTCTTTATTTGTCCCAGTGGGGAAATTCTGGTTTTACTCTCTGTTATTTAGAAACTACTCACACACAGAGGCCTGAAATACACACATGCACAAACAGGACCTGTGGACATCCATTAATGGAGAGATGTCAGAGTGAGGGGCTGCAACACGAGGAGTCCTCCAGAGCTGTTGGGGGTTCGGTGCCTTGCTCAAGGATACTTTGGCCTCTCTAGCTACCAGACCAACTTCTATACTTGTGTCTGCACGGGGACTTGAACAAGCTATTCTCTGGTTCCCCACTCCAAGTCCTTAAAGACTGAGCTACTGCCCTTTTTAATTGTAAATATAATAAATGTTTTTATGTAGCATCTTTTATACAAGGCAATCTGTTTGTAATGCAGTATAATGAAGTAAAGAAGAAGAAGAAGAAGAAGAAAAACAGGCAAAATAACTGAAACATCTATTTAGTTTTAAACAAAACCTGCACCACAGAGCAGGAACAGGAATATGTTTGAAACAATAACATATGTTAAAAAGTGAAAAAAACAAATTTGCAATGTTGATCAAACAGGCAAAGAGTTTGCATAAAACAGAGCTCAGTAGTTTGGGTGTAAAGTGAAAAAAAAAATTGCTTTTAGACTCTTTAATTAAAAGTTTTGGTTTCTCTCTTACCACCTCCACAGGTGACGACATCAGCGGCTCAGGAAGCGGGATGTGCGCGGGTGGTCAGTGTCCTCGGGGCAGACCGGGATTGTACGCTCTCTCGCCTGACAACAATCGAGTCCGAGCCACAGCGACGTCTCAAACCCGCCTCAGTGGCCTCCTACTCCTGCTCCCATTGGCCGTCCTGCTGCTTCAGCGATGATGGACCGCCATGACCTCCAATCAGACTCTGCAGTTTAGAGTTGAGACGTACTTTGGGACGAACAACAAGGGGTTTGTTTTTTCTGCGGGGGGGGTGGGGGGGGGAGACTGGAACTTTACTTTGCCAAAAAAAGAAAAAAGAAAAAAGACTTTTGAAGTGATGAATGAACATCTTCTTTGACCAAGAGCAGCAAACATTGACAGTGACGATGTTCTTCATTTTGTCTCGCTCAGTTTTTATGTCGTAGTTTGAGTGTGGTTCAGTTTGTTGAGCTGGTTTCACTGGATGCTTGGATGAAGACGGTTGAAAGAAGACATGGATGAAGAAGAGGAAAAACATCAAGAAGGGGATGATGATGATGATCGGGATATTGATAAGGATCTATTGACACTCTTATCAGGTTCTCTAAGCTCAAGTTTCCAGTCAGGAGGCGGAAAAAAAGCTCATGAATCAAAGGTTTAGTTCTGATATGTGGTGCGTTCAACAAGGCTTTTTTTAATTTCATTTCTTTTTCTCAAGTCGCAGATTGTCTACTTAAACGAAAAATGTGTGCGTTGTAAATGTTTGTGTACATTAGCAAAAAGACTGGCGCCATACTGAGCCATGAATGTACAGTATAATGCTAATATTGGCAATGAATCGCCCCCATTCTCTGTGATGTAGTCGTCCAGATGTTTTTGGTGTGTGTTGGCATAAACAGTACGTTACAATCAGTAGGATTTGTTTAAAATGTTGCAGATGAATCATCACGCTCCTGATATGTTTGAGATGTTGTGATTGCCTCACTTATAAGCTTTACCCAAAGCTTGTCAAAAGACAAATCAACATGAATTGACGACTTTTTAATGAACCAAATCACCTCCTTTTTTTTAAAAAAAAGGAATAAGCATCTCATCAAGCGCAGAAAGGCAAGCGGCTTCCTGAAGAACCCAACGCTGAAGATTACCCTGACACTTTGGGGACGCAAAATCATGAAAAAACTCTCCACATGGAAGAAATGTCATGACGCAGTGATACCGGTGAGGAGTCCTTGTTGAACGCACACCTGCGTTAAGTCAGTGAAATGAAGGCTTAGAAGCATCACAGAGGCGGATATACAGCAGGTCAAACCAAAGCACTTACTACACTGTACACTTATTTTCTTTTTTTTTTACATTTTCTGACATTGCCTCAAGTCATTTTACATTTCTGGTTTAGGAAACACTTTATGTTGAAAGACAACAGACGTTCTCAGATGTTTTTGTGCATACAGTACAAGATGTTTGGATTCATTCGCCTGGTGAAATATCATCATCTCAGCATGCCTTTCTTTCAGTCTACTCTATGATACTGCTACAGACCAGAGTCCTGATTCACACAGGACTCCTGCACATACACACATTGACATAACGGGGTTGTGTATAAACGCTGATTTTTTAAAAATTCATCTGTGTATATAATCACACATTTCACTCATTAAACTCTGTTGATTGTTGCAGTGGAATCTTCATGTACTTTTTGATTCAGTTATTGGCATCCATATCTGAAGCTCTACATTGGCAATGCAAGGGTTCACGCCATGGATTTATGCAAAAATTGTATTTTAAATGTAACAGGGAGGTTCAGTCACTAACTGGGGATATTGATTCAGAGAGAAACTGGTGTTAATGAGGAAGGGACGGATGATCTAAAATTATGCTGTTTGAGTTGCAATGCAGCAACAGATTTAAAAAAAATAAAGTTTGGCTCATAATTAGGATTAAAAGTCAGGATGTCTATTGGGGCTTAAATTTTAAACATGTAAAGCTAAGCTAGATGAATGCTGATAACAGGGTGTGTTAGATGGTCCACCACTTACAAACTTGAATACGTCGGCAAATATTGGCTTGATTGCCATGACATTTGGTGGAGGTATTCACATTCCCACGAGAATGACTCCTTGTGACTTCATTGATGATTTAACTTTCCCCTTAAATACCAGAATTAAATGGCATTCCCCACAGGATGAATAATTATACATTTGTCGATCATTTAACTTTTGTCCAGTGACAAAGTACCTGCAGAACAGATGAGATTGTACTCACTCTTAGTGTTAGATGGATAGATAGATGGAGGATGGATGGATAAATGCAAACAATGATGATATCAAATCTGTTACCATGGAAACGTTTAGGTTAAAGCTCCTCTACGCTACAGTGCAGCCACACAGAGTCCCCCTATTCCAGCCCAATTCACTCCCTGGTTTGTTTTCACAGCAAGACACTCAGAAATCATCTCAGGACAAATAGTATTTTATTCCTTTTTTCAGTTACTAGATGCACCAGCGTGATAAATAAACAGAGCTCTTAATAACATGCAGTGACAGGCCTCATGCATGGGGATAACAATCCTGCACCAGTCAGGGGGCTTCAAGTTAATGAATGATTGATTCTTCTGTTGCATACAGCTGGATGAAACAGAGCACCAGGCGCAAAGAGTCATAACAATTATTTTTGAATGATGCAGAAGTGACGTTTGATATCTCCAAGTCTGAATTTTATCTGTGGGTGTGTGACTGAGAGGGCCTGATCTGTACATCTGCCTGATGTCTTTTTTTTTTAACATCCAATGTCTTGTTATTGTGAGTGATGTGGAAGTAAAGGGGAGAATAGGATCTAAATTTCACTGAGATGTGGGAGGACACATGTTGCGGCCTCAGTCTACCGCGTTGTCTGTGTCTAGACATGAAGAAGATTTATCGGAGCTCAGCACTCTTCCCGAGCTGTCTGTCCAAAATCTGAGTTTGCTCAACACTCTGAGTCCCCCCCGGATGAGACTTTCTACTGAACCTAAGCCCACACAACTTCTGCTGCACAAAAATAGATGCAATTTTAAAGTTGTACAGTCATTTTAATGCTTATGAGGCAGGTTAGCAGGTTTATAATCAATTTCAGGAGTGAAACATGAAACAGACTCATAGGATGATGTGTTTTTCTATATAATTTGAAATGATTCAAAATGCTTTCTGATGAGACACATTGTCTCTCTCTTTGCCTTTAACCCACATAAAACACGTCTTTAAGATACCAACATGTACAAGAGGCAATAGCCACTAAAGAGAGTTTATTCTTGGAGAGCTACAGCTTATATAGTGTCCGAAAAAAAGTTGAAAAGTCATGTTGAGGGCGGATATCTGAGCTGGTGATCAATGTGTTACAGCAGTTGTCTGTGTTGTCTTGTTGTTGAGCAGTGCTTTGCCTTTTTTTTTCCAGACAGCGTAAGAGTCCGAAAGCGGCAGGTGATGAAGAGACAGGACAGAAACTTCAAGAGTAAATTGATCCAAAGGCCATCAGGGACTGAAAATGTATCTGACCTTTATTGTTCTGCAACACTGACTGCAGTCTTGATGCTGTGGCTGTCATTAAAACTTTTGCAACAGATTTGTTGCTAAAACAACTTTTTAAACACTGCCTGTTGAGTCACTGCTTCAGAACAAAGCCACCAAGGAATGACCCCTCCAGCCGATTCCCTCCTGATACCAATATCAATTCAGCTGCCTCCATAGTAGCATCAATAACAACAAAAAGGTACATGGTCATAAACAAGTGAAGGCAATAAAGACAGGAGGAGGAAAAGAGCTGTGGTTAGACAGCTAAACTCATCCAACAACATGGAAATTACGGATAATTGTGTCTTTTTTTTTTTTTAGTTGGTCAACACTTCCCTCCTCCCACCGTCCTGACCTCTGAAATATATCTCTCATAAGCTCTAATGACAGAAGCTTCTTAGTTTGTGGTTCTATACCAAAAGTTTATAATTTCAAGGTTAAAACAATATGTTCCTTTTTTAAATCTCGCTCTAATAGTACGACAGCTTTCAACAGGCAGAATATAGCGTCTCTCCCATGTCCACAGAGCGCCCCATGTTGCCTGCTTATAGCACCGTGTAAGTTTATCAGTTATTTAATGCTATGAAAAAGGGTTTGTAGTGTCATGATTGACAGCTCTGTTGACAAGTGCAGCTCTGCATACACAGTATAAGCAGCAGAGGAGGAACGGCATAACGAACACAAACAAAACAGTCAGAGAACTTTCTATATCCATGACTCTCCGCTTCAAACCGACCCCAGTCTACTGTTGGCCATGCAGACCTGAGGGATCTTTTGCTGCTATATCAGCAAGTTCAATGTGTGTTTTGATCAGCAGAAGGGTAAGGATGTTGATTCCATGGCTCCTCCAGCTGATCCCATACTGTGCAGGCTCTGGCTCCAAATGCTCAGTACGTCAGCGCCCATATAGGGTTTTTTTTTTTGGCTTCACTTTTATACAGCTGTAGGAGGTGGAGACGAGTTGTCCATCTTTAAATACAGTCAGTGGCCGATTCCATGGTGGCCTGTCAACCAGGACTGAGGTGATTATCTATCTTGTTGTCAAAATATAGTCACAGAACAAAATGCTGGACTTGTTTAGGTTGCAAGGGGGATCTACAACTAAAAAGTGTTTCCATAAAGTCTCAACTCTATCAGTCTATCTTTGAGTCAGCATCTATTCAGTTTACCACGTCGGTAACAGATTGCATCCTCACAACAAAGTAGAGCACGCGCAGAAGAAGAATGGTGTTATTTGTGGGGTTTTGTCTAAGGGATTGGGTGTAAATATCCAATATCCCAGAGTGAAAATAAGCATAGCAGTTTTCAAATTTCCTGAATCACTAGATAACTTTTCTATTTACATTTGGATTAAGACTCAGCTGTTACACATTATGTGACAAAGCTTTAGGATCTTCAAAATAGGGGCTTAACTCCCATCTCATCCTGATACATTGAGGCAAGAGCTCCTGACACCTGTTCCATCCCCTGAAGATAACAGAAACCACCAGCCACTTTCTGATTAGGGCGATCAGTTAGGATGCTGTGCTGAAGAATGACCGCTGGGTGTCACTGTCCCCGCACAAAGATCAGGCTGGGCGTAAAGGGGGGGTGGTGGTGGGTATCGGACCCATTGGGCATTCAGCTTGGGTCAGGCTGATGAAAGGATGGGTGATTGGTTTACGATCCGCCACACTCGCTTCTGATTGGACAGAAAGGTGTGAGAGAGAAAAATGCTGAGAGAGAGAGAAAGAGAGAGAGAGAGAGAGAGTGTGAGATCTACCAGCAGTGTATCCGCTTCAGTCCCCGTTGACTCTGCCGGTGCTGCACTTGTCAAACACACACACACGCACACACACACACATACACACACACATACATACACACACACACACTCTGAAGGCTGAGATGTGACTGTGACGCCAGAGGAATACAGCGTGTTTCTGTTTCTGTGGGATTTTTCTTTCTTTCTGTCAGCTCGGATAATGGGAGAGGACAGACGGGGAGACATGTGGACCATGCCGGCCACTCTGGCTGCGTTGCTCCTCTGTGTGATTACTTCTGTCTGCGCGGTGGAAGGTAGGTGTGCGGAGGGTTTTCTCAGTGTTTCAGATGGTGCAATGTGAAGAGTTAATGTATGCACTAACTGTGATTAAAAGCTGCAATGTCTGAGCTTTTCATTTAAAGACTTATTAACCTTGCAAAAATAGACATATAGCTGTATTTCGTGGCTGTAGCCTGCACCTGAAATGTGATTATTATTATTATTTTTTTTAAATTGCTTGAGGATTTATCACAAGAAGTTGAGCGGGGTGTGTTCCGGGTTTCATTTAAAGATGTTCAGGTAGCAGTGGGATTTTGGGGACAGCGCAGGACTGTGACTGTGCTTCATTGGAGGTTGAAGAACTCATTGCACTTTGGTTGAAAACATATTGAAGGAGAAGAAAGGGCGTACAAGTGTAATGCATGCTTTTAAAATCTTGCATTTCCACATGTATACAGTTATCCTTCATTAAAACAGAATGAAAATAGTCCCTTTATTAAAAATCTGAATGGTTTAAAATGTATACAAAATGCTACAAGGTAAGAACAAATCTGCTTTTCAATGCCGCTTTTCTATAAGTGTTCAATGTGAGAGAGGCTTAGGTTTAGTCATGCTCTGTTATTCCTGTTGCATTCCGGGGGTTTTACATATCTTTGACAGTGCAGGAATGCCTCTTGGAAGCTTCAAGATCTCAATGTGGCACAGATATTTGTAACATAAGCAATAAGCATTTGTAGCATGGCAAAAAATAAAAATAAAAATAAAAGCTGGGTGCTATGAATTCAACTCCACTAAAAATGCAGTTTTTTTTTGTACATTGTCGCAATCATCCTTAGTGTTCTTGCTTTGAAAACAGTCTTCTGGTGAATCTAAAAGGCATGAAATACATGCAAAGTACTACCAAGCATGGATTAATCTTAATTCCGATGCCTTTTTGCTTGATTGTATATAATTGTATCACATTAGGTGCTTCAATTAGATACGCACAAATAATCTTTCTGCACTAAGTGGCAGGTAATGTTCCCAAATATGAATCCAAACATTGCTGCGTTTCTCTATTTCTATTAACACACGCTGCAGCTCTCTTGAAGCAGCGAAGTGAAGCGTG